GTGGCTAACCTGCGAATTCCCAACTCCATATATACAATGCCATAAATTCAATTGAAGAATCCAAGATGACTGCAAATCTAATTTTAATCTAATTTTAAACAGACTGAGTTGAAGAAAGTCTTGAATACATCTCGTTTTGACTAGACTGAGTTAAAAATCTGGCTTCTGGAGGACAAGAGAGATGTGGCCAAGACTTTTTTCAACTCAGTGTCGAGGCTAATAGGCTGAATTTAATCCATGCTTGGATTCTCCAAGCAGCGCACAGGAAATAGACACAGGTTTGCACTGGAGGAATAGCAAGAGAAAAAGTGTTGGCTTAACCTTTTGCCTTCCAAATGTTTTTCTCATGTGAATTCCAGAACCCCTCATTAGGGAATTAGTAGTAGCCAATTCATTATAAAATGAAAAAATAAATACACAAAAACTTCACTCTGGTGTCATATAAAATAGTGCAAACTATAAAATAAGCATGTAAAATTGCATGGATATAATGGATAGCTATAAAAGTAAGCCAATTTGTTTATTCTACTGTACTACAGGAAGTCCTCAAGTTATGGCAATTTGTTTAGCAACTGTTTGAAGTTAAAAGAGTGTTGAATAAAGTGACTGGCTTTTTTAGAAAAACAAAAAGAAAAGAGTGAATGTGAGCAAAACCTTTGGGAGATATGCCTGTCCTTAAAAAAAATCCAGACCTCAGAAAACAAAACAAAAAAAAATCTCTGCAAGAATCATTTGCCGGAATAATTTCTTTTGGCAGTGTGATTTTGGACCTTTTGTGGTATCTAGGCAGGGAGCTGAAGTGAAAAGAAGACTGTTGTCACTCAGAAGGCCTTCCTTTCTGTCCACACTGAGATGTATTTGGGTGGGGGGGAAAGAGGTTGATCTGTAAAATCTCACTGCCAGAAATTGTAATTATATAATGTTGGCAACTCCATTCCAAGTTTTCCGAAAGGTTGTTGTTGAGAAGCTAAAACTAAAATACGGCCCATGGACTGCAAATTCAATATATCTGTTCTAAGAATTTAATACCTGCTCTAATATAATATACCTGTTCTAATACGAATTGTGTAGGATAACAACTACCATCCAGTAAGTATAACCCCATTTGATTGGGAAAAAATCTTACATAAAATTCAAGTTAGTATCAATGTTTCAATAACTAAATTACCCCAAATTAATATTTAACTGATTTGTCCATGTAAAAAGCTGGTTCAAATGTTTTCTTTATAAATCTTGACGCAATTGTAAAGGACAATATCTAAACTGATCATTCCGTTCAAATATGATTTTTAGCAAAACTAATTGCAAAAATAACACACACACACACACACACACACACACGCACGCACGCCCACACCACCTCAAATGTTCTCTAAAATCTGGCTACCAAATACAACCCTGCATTTTTATTTTCTTGCAACTACTATGAATTATAATAAAATGTAAAAGAACAGAAAAAGATTGGTAACAATGCTTAAAGTAGCAACCTCTATTTCTGTCTCCCTTTGAAAATAAAAACAAGAACCAAGACATCAAACTTTGAAATCTTATCAGGTGTTGGTATATTTAAATACACCACCCCAGAAACATAGATATTCAATAACCATGTAAATCATTCATAATTATTCTGCCAAAATGTAACATCCATACAGTCTCCTTTCTGAATATTTTTATCTTTACACCTTTAAACTTGTATCCTTCATGCCCAGGAAACCTATTCTATAGCCCACTACTGCCACCACCATCCCAAAAATCTGCCTTATTCAGGCAGTTGGTTAATTTTTTTTTGTTAGACATAAAGTCAATGTTATTAAATTATGCTCTAATTTTTAGCTTCAGTTTTTAAGTAGTCAGCATTTTACAACAAATTACTTTTTTTACTAGCATATTGAATTGAATTGAATTGAATTGAATAAGTTTATTTATAGGCCGCCCTTTTCCCTGAGGGGACTCAGGGCGGCTAACAACTTATAGGGAGGGGGATACAGACAGTAACATATAACATAACACATAATTAAAAAGTAAACAACATTCATCCAACATTCGGGTGGGGGCGGATCAGATCTTTACCCCCAGGCCTGGCGGGATAGCCAGTTCTTGAGGGCTGCGCGGAAGGTCTGAAGGGTGGTGAGGGTACGAATCTCCATGGGGAGATCGTTCCAGAGGGTCGGAGCTGCCACTGAAAAGGCTCTCCTCCGTGTAGTAGCCGGCCGGCACTGGCTGGTAGATGGCACTCGGAGGAGGCCTAATCTATGAGATCTAATCGGTCTCGAGGAGGTGATCGGCAGGAGGCGGTCTCCCAAGTACCCAGATCCACTACCATGGAGGGCTTTATAGGTGGTAAGAAGCACCTTGAAGCGCACACGGAGATCAACAGGTAGCCAGCGCAGCTCGTGGAGGATAGGTGTTATGTGGGTGAACCGAGGTGCACCCACAATCACTCTCGCGGCTGCATTCTGGACTAGCTGAAGTCGCCAGATGCTCTTCAAGGGCAGCCCCATGTAGAGCACGTTGCAGTATTCCAGCCTAGAGGTCACGAGGGCGCGAGTGACTGTTGTGAGCGCCTCCCGATTCAGGTAGGGTCGCAACTGGCGCACCAGGCGAACCTGGGCGAATGCCCCCCTGGTCACAGCCGACAGGTGGTGATCAAAGGTCAGCTGTGGATCCAGGAGGACTCCCAAGTTGCGAACCCTGTCTGAGGGGTGTAAAATTTGGCCCCCCAGCCTGAGTGGTGGAACGCTAGCCAAATTGTTGGGAGGGAAACACAACAGCCACTTGGTCTTTTCCGGGTTGAGTACAAGCTTGTTAGCCCGCATCCAGTCTCTAACGGCCTCAAGACCCTGGTTCATCACGTCCACCGCTTCATTGAGTTGGCACGGGGCGGACAGATACAGCTGTGTATCGTCCGCATATTGATGGTATCTTATCCCGTGCCTCCGAATGATCTCGCCCAGCGGTTTCATGTAGATGTTAAATAGTACAGGGGACAGGACCGACCCCTGCGGCACCCCATATGTTAGGGGCCTCGTGGTCGATCTCTGTCCCCCGACCAACACCGACTGCGACCTGTCTGAGAGGTAGGAGGAGAACCACTGCAAAACAGTGCCTCCCACCCCCACCTCCCGCAGTCGTCGCAGAAGGATACCATGGTCGATGGTATCGAAAGCCGCCGAGAGGTCAAGAAGAACCAGGATGGAGGCGTGGCCTCCATCCCTGGCTCTCCAGAGATCATCGGTCAATGCGACCAAAGCGGTTTCTGTGCTGTAACCAGGTCTGAAGCCGGACTGGAAGGGGTCCAGGTAATCGGCTTCCTCCAAGGACCGCTGAAGCTGGTAGGCCACCACCTTCTCAACAACCTTCCCAATAAAGGGGAGGTTGGAGACTGGACGGTAGTTGTTAAGTACAGCTGGATCCAAAGATGGTTTCTTCAGGAGGGGTCTCACCACCGCCGTTTTAAGTGCGGCGGGGAAGTGCCCCTCCCGAAGCGAGGCGGTAATAACCACTTGGATCCAGCTCCATGTCACCTCCCTGCTGTTAGCAACCAGCCAGGAGGGACATGGGTCCAGTACACAGGTGGAGGCACTCACAGCCCTCATGGCCTTGTCCACGTCCCCGGGGGTAACGTCCTGAAACTCAACCCAGTGATGGTCTACCAAGTCGTCCACTCGTGCCTCGGCTGGATCTGCAAAGGTGGAGTCCAGATCCGACCGAAACCGAGCAACTTTGTCCGCCAAGAACTGGGCATAGTCTTCAGCCCTACCCTGCAAAGGGTCCCCCGTATCCCTCTTATTTAAGAGAGAACGGGTTATCCTAAACAGGGCGGCTGGACGAGACTCGGCGGACGCAACCAAGGAGGCAATGTATGCTCTTTTTGTTGCCCTAAGTGCCCTGATGTATTCCTTGGTGCAGGTTGTTAAAAGTGCTCGGTTCGATTCAGATCTATCGGACCTCCACAGGTGCTCTAGGCATCTCCTTCGGCGTTTCCTCTCCCGGAGCTCCTCGGTGAACCAAGGAGGCCTCCGGGATCCACCACCTCGGAGTGGCCGTAGTGGCGCAATCCGGTCGAGGGACTCCGATGCTGCCGAGTGCCAGGCAGCAACCAGAGTCTCCACCGGATTGTGGGCGAGAGTATCAGGAATAACCCCAAGCTCCGTCTGGAACCTCAAGGGGCCCATAAGTCGCCTGGGGCGGAACCACTTGGTCGGTTCCTCCTCCCTACAGTGGGGGTTTGGTCTCCGGAAGTCAAGCCTCAGTAGGCAGTGGTCTGACCACGACAGGGGTATGATCTCATTACCCCTCAGACCAAGATCACAAATCCACTGCTCCGAGAGAAATACGAGGTCGAGCGTGTGACCCGCTGAGTGGGTTGGGCCCCGAATTACCTGGGTCAAGCCCATGGCTGTCATGGAAGCCATGAACTCCCGTGCCCCATCAGAGTGTTCACCGAACGTAGGCAAGTTGAAGTCCCCCAGGACCATAAGCCTGGGGAACTCAACTGCTAGCTCGGCTACCGACTCGAGGAGCGAGGGGAGGGCTGCTGCAACGCAGTTGGGAGGCAGGTACGTTAACAGCAGGCCCACTTGACCCTTGAGGTCCAACTTCAGCAGCAGGGACTCACACCCGACAAGCTCCGGAGCAGGGATCCTACGAGTAACTAAAGACTCCCGAATAACAATAGCCACACCCCCACCCCTTCCTGAGCTCTCGGCTGATGAAGCACCTGAAATCCTTCTGGGCACATCTCTATGAGGGGGACTCCTCCCTCCGGGCCCAGCCAGGTTTCAGTAATACACGTAATACACATATGTTATAAACCATTTCAAAAATACTTGAATTCACTATTATTATTAAAGAAAACAACATCTTATCCAATATTTGCAATGGGGGCAATGTCCCTAAGAATTGTGACTGATAGGTCATGCAATGCCTGTTAGGATTCTGGGCATTATTCTTTTACAGACACTAAACATAGACTTCTTAAATAATACATTTCAATCTACCTGGCACAGACACTCCATATACATTTGCTTCTTGAATAAATTCCAGCATAACAAGAATTGTCTCAACTTCTGTAGTAGCCACATTCTCTCCTTTCCATCTATAACAAGTGAAAAAGAAGTTATTAACCACCATTTGTTCATTTTATAACTGAATTTCCCCCCCCCCCAAAAAAAACTTTATTACTAAAGCATGATTGTAAACCTTAGATGAAGCCCTTTCTGTGTTCCCTCATAATACCGGCCCCTATTTATAGCAGATTGAAACTGGAGACCTTCTGCTTCACAAGTTATTTCTTGATGTATTTTCCCTGTTTGAAATGCTATTATATTTCTTTGTCTTTCTAAATCTGGATACCACATTGACCTGAAGTTTGGTTTTTGGAAGCTTTTTGCTTATTTCTCACTAAAATTCTGCATGGGTATAGCATACATACATGTGCACACAAAATAAAATGAAAGGGTGGAAGGAAGGAAGGAAAGAAGGAAGGAAGGAAGGAATATATAATGTGACTCTGTACAGTTAGTGTTCTCACATCATATTCAGATATATGGAATGCAGTCAAAAGATTGCCCATTGCTGACTTTGGAATGCAGGTTCTGCAGTCAAAAGATTGCCCATTGCTGTCTTTAGCTGCTCCTAATTCCTAGGCAAAACACACACTGGCCAGTTAGAATAGAAGTTTTAATATATTGCAGAATAAAAAAGTAGCAGACAGTCAGCACTGTCTTATTTGCCCAAAAGAGGTGAAAAGGTCAGTTTTAGAGTCTAGAAGTTAAGACACCAGGCCAAAAATCAGGAGTCCATACATTGTAAACCTGCCTTAACTATGAAAGTCATCTGGGTCACTTTAAGCCAACCATTCTCTTTCAGTCCAATCCTCCTCATGGGTTTTTTTTTGGGGGGGGGGAGGAAAAGGAAGATGTTTTAGGTATGTCCGCCATCTTGATTTATTTATAAAAATGCTAAAAAGGTGGGAGCAAGCAGGGAATGGATATCAGCTTTTAGTGTCCATGGGACTCACCGGAAAGTATCTCCCACTCGGTCCTGGAAGTATATAAATCCATCGTGGTCTTGCATCATGAGGTCACCGCTATTAAAATACCTGTCTCCTTTCTCTAGGACATCCTGGAGAATCTTCTTCCTTGTTTTCTGATAATCTCCTGCATAGCCATAGAATGGAGTCCTCTCAGTGATCTTGCCTACTAGCAAACCTGTTTCACCTGCAATTAGGAATCAATTAATCAATTAATATTCATTCTCGAGCAAGCACTTTATTTCCACTTATTTCCCTTTGGATTTTCCAGAAAACATTCTATTTTTTTTAATTAAAAAAAACAATTAAAGATTTATTTTTTTATTTAATTTGGTAAGTTAATAAAAACAACTTTGCCATATTAATTCGACCTATAATATATGTATGTGAAAAATGTTTCTAATTCTCAAAAGTAATAAATTACATTCAAGCAATTGCTTTTATGTGGAGAAAAGCATAGTCCTAGAAAAGTGAACTTAATGTAGCCTTCTTGTCGATAGCTCAAAACGTACGAAACTTTTTTCTAATTGATTGATGCAACCCTTTCTATTGAAAGGATAGCTCTTACTTGATTCCCTTTGTTAAACTCATGAACTCTAAACCTCTTCAATTTACGACCAAGGTTGAGCCCAAATATTTCTGCTGCTAAGTGAGAGATTTGATAAAATATTTTGCCTCATTTTACAACCTTTCTTGCCACACTTGTTAAATGAATCATTGCAGTGGTAAAAGCAATAATACTCAGCCCTCACAAAGGAGACAAAAGGGCTGCCTTGTATTTTTTGCTCTCTGCCCCAACCGTAGTGGAGGAAAAAATCCACAAGGATCATTTATTTTTCAGTGAACAGAGGCATGAAAAATAAAAAGAGCAATAGAGACATTATAAACATATTCAATTCTTTTAAATCCATCCAGGTTAGTAGTCACCACATGAGTCATATTAACAAATGAATAGTGTACAATTGGAGTGGGGGGACTGAACTACACTTGATCTTTTGTGGGGATCAAGAAAACAAAATAAGACCATTTATTATACATTTTAATAGCATCTTTATTTCCCATACATTTAATAGTTCTATATTTTCACACGGAAAGACTTGAGATTACGGCCAAGTGAACTTATGTGCTGCATAGGTGGGAAAATTAGGATACATTCTAATGTGCACAACTGGCCTGGGGCTTTTGTATTAAAAACCCAAGCTCAAGAGTAATGCTAGTTCCAAACACATTGCTAAAAAGCAGCCAAGGCTTTGCTGGATGATCAGTCTTTCTGTCACTTAAGTCACTTTCTGTCATTTAAGATTTGGTAGCACCTTTTCTAATTGTGAGTTTAACTCACTTCATTGGATGCACAGAGCATCCTGGGAAATTAAAACGCTCTGACATCACTTGTCCTTGTTTTGGCTTATGTCTATTAATTGTTTTGCACAAAGTTTACCTGTTTATTTTATGTAGAACCCACAAGGTAAACTCAGACATCAGTTTCCTTCTGACTTTCGCCATCTCAGTCTAACATAACCAATTTCTACAATATCAGTCTTCACATGGAAAAAAAAGATATGGTAATGATCTGGGATGTTTTGGTTGTTGCAGCTATTGAAAATCAACTCGATGTGCACAGAGTTGTTTATATATTCGCAATGCTTGTAGAGAACTTATGACAAATCAAAACACTCCCTGTCTAAGTCAATAATTGAGCACAGATTCAGCTGATCATTGCCTGATTAGCAACAAGGGCTTCTCTCTCCACCGCTTAAATCCACAATATGTAAATTCCATTTTTCCTCCATAAAAGAAGAAACTGAGTTTTGTAAATTTATCATCTGTAATCTCCAGAATACCATATTTTAATCTCTTTTCCCAGGCATGAAATGCAGCCTTCGTGTTGATATCCCAAGAGCTGGGAGGTAGAATGAGTCAGATTTCTCCAGATGTTTCACATAACCACTCCCATGAAACTGAACTTGCAACTCATTCACTGCTGTGATCAAGTGACTGTTCTGGGAAAAACTCATATGTGGCATGGAGACAATCAAAGATTTAACCCTCAAAGATCTGACCACTGGCACAGAGAGGAGAACCCGTTTCATCATTGGAAGTAGCCCATAACTTTGCTTTTGTAAAGTCAAATTCATTGCCAAATATAAATTTTAGTAACATACCTGGGGCCACCGGGACACAGTATCCTTTTTCATTCCTCACAACCTCATTCTGGTCAATATCATATTGAATTAGTTCAAATTTTGTCATCTTCTGCAGCAGAATAGACAGAAATTGGTAAGAGCCACAAGACAGAAATTCTAAGCAACTTCAGCAGTAGGTCACAAAGAACCCCACAACTTTTAGGGTGCCCCTTGAACAAATGTTTCCAATTTGATGCCTGCTAAATGATAGGATAATTATATTCTGTACTTTTATCCAAAAATTAAAATTAATATAGATGGGTAACAGGGATCAAATAGAGACCTGAGATATAGTCCTTATCACATCATCCTTCCTGACACTCAAACAAAATTGGACCTTCAAACACTCTCAAAAGCTTTGAAGAGAGAGCACTTGGAGCTAGAGTTTGTCTATAGCACTGTGCAACTTCATCTGAACTCAATACAAGGGTGGTCTGGAATGAGAGCTGGTTTGTCCACTGATAGTCTTTTGAAATTTTGTAGCAGTGAAAAACATTGTTTAGTTTTCTGGTGTACAAGGATCAGAGAACAAGAGATTTGTACCACCTGCTGCTGATCAATAAATTTGAAGCCTTTTTTCTTTTTTCATTTTTATGGATGACATAGATCAAGGATCCGCAAGACAACCATTTTACTACACCAACAGAATAATTCATTTGCCCCCCTCCCCACATGTATGTATTGGCCAGATGATGTCACTATCATCTAGTACATTGTCCAATTGTATATCCTCTTCCACCATAATCTTTCCCTGCCACCTAAGATTGCGGGGGGGGGGTGTTCCTCAGAAATTTGCCCATCTCTCTGATTACCTGAAAATGCAAATATACCTCATCTCACTCATCCCTGTAATATTGGTGATAATCTTTTATGAAATTTTGGGAGGCATGATAACTTTCTGCCCTCTAAGCTTTTGCAGGATTTTGTATGTTCTCATATATATATTTTTTGTGATAAGTTGAAAGGTCTGAACAATATTTTTTTTTTACCATAGTCCCACAGATTACTTTAGTTGTTCTCCACACAGCGATGGAGAACAGAGCTAGAAATCAAGTTAGCGGAGGGTTGTGGCTGCCCTGGGTATGGGGGGTTGGGATGGGGTCTCAAAGTAGACAAATAAAAAGAAGGGAAGAGAGCAAGGAAGGAAAAAGAGGGGAAGAAAGAAGAAAGAAAGGAGAATGAAGAGGAAAGGGAAAAAAAGAAGAAAAGGGGAAAAGGAAGGAAAGAAGAAGCTAATAATGAGAGGGAGTGAGGGTCTGAGATAAGTTCTGCCTTAGCACAGCCACTAACAGCCCTGCCTTTTGCCATCCCTTGTCCCCTCCTCCTGACCTCTCCTGGTGGTTTCCCATCCTATCACTGAGGATGCTGTGGTTACAAAGCCGGGTCTCCTCTGACCCACATACTTTGCCCTCCCGTACACACCAAGAGCAACCTGGCCAAGGAGAGCGAACACAGCAGCAGTGGGAACTGCCAATGCCCACCATGGCCACAGCCACCACAGCCAGGGCCGCCGCAGCCACACCCACCCGGGCCCCTGAAGTCGATCACAATCCTGATGCGGTCTAGAGTGTCTAATACATTAACCACTTTCTGGGATATTTTTACGGCATTAAGAGTTTGCTTTCCATTAAGCAACTGCTATGTAAACATTTTAGACAAAGTCATAACTGACAAAAATCAGATTACTTTTATCTTTATCCCACCAGATCTTTCAAGAAAGTGTATTTGGAGAATAAGCAATTTTTGGCTGAATCTAAGGCATCCAAGATGGAGTATTTTCCTTGACTAGGCAAAGCATGTTTTCCCCCAAAAGATGGGTTTACATTGTTTCCTATATCTTGTGAAACTGCGATACTATCAGGAAAAGAAAAAAAAAGAAGATCCTCATTCAGAAGATTGAATTAATTTCCATCTTCTACTTTCCTTCTAAAGCAGGGCTGTCAAACTCCCATGGGCTGGATGCATCATGTCACGATCACCACCGCTTCCGCCTATTGCAGCCACCGTTTGCCGCCAGCGATAGATGGCGGCAGCAATTGGTGGCAGTGGTGATAGGTGGTGGTGATAGGCAGCAGTAGCAGCCCCCACCAGCTGGAATGGACCTAAAATGGGACATGCAGAGTATGTCTGGGTGTGCAGAGGCCAACAATAGAGCATGCAGAGGCCAAACACGGGGCATGTAGAGGTCGAAAATGGGATGCACGGAAGTGACGAAAGGCAGTGGCAATGGGCAGCAGCGATCCTCATAGCCTGGAACAGCTGATCGGCAGTATTCTGGGAGGCCGATCCAACTGCCAATCAGCTGCTCATGCTAAATCAGACTGCAATAATGTGCTGAAGCTGACCAGGCTGTTTACTGTTTTGCTGCAAGGATGCTAGCCAGATGAATACCAATGGATGCTGGGAGGCAGATTGTTTTATTGTTGTTGTTTTCCTCACCAAAAGGTAGGTGCATCTTGGGATCCAGTGCATCTTACTGTGCAAAAAATATGATATGTTTTTGGAAAACAACTGGCTAACCCGATCTGAAGGGTTTCAAACTAAACTAAAGGGTGGAGTAATAAGGTCATTGATGAGTAATACAGTGGCAAGTAATAAACTGAACACAAAGCAAAACAATTGGAAAGTGATTAGATTAATAAAGGGGCAAAGGAAAAAGGAAATTGAACTTAGGGAGACTATCCAATTGTCTCAAATAACTCTATACAAAAGAACAAAGTACTCTATAGGTAACAAGCAAAACGAGCTGAGTGTCATAAGGCACAAAATCAAATATGATATAACAAGGATCACAGAAATATGATGGATAAATTCCAGTGGTAGAACATTTGATTTTATGGTTACACTTCCTGATGGTAACATATGGGTTAAAATAACCTAATAGAGGGGGTAGCTTACTTGAAATCTGCTATAGATAATCAAATCAATCACAAGTGGTAGATGAAGATTTAAAGCAGATAACTGAAGTTTCAAAAAAGAATGGCATGACTATGATATAAACTTTTAAACCCTTTCAACATCTGTTTTAATTTTGTCAAATACAAATAAATTCTTGTTAGAATTGCTGATATATATATTGTAAATATATATTGATAAATAAATAAAGGGATAAATAAATAAAGGGAGACTAGTATAGATCTATTTCAAGCTATTTAGCTCTCATCAGCTAACCATACCCTTACTGGGATCAGATAGCTGATGAGAGCTAAATAGCTTGAAATAGATCTATACTAGTCTCTCTTTATTTATTTATCAGCACAAATACAACAAAATGTAACAAAAAGTAAAAATATTGGGTTTCTGCCTGGATGGTCTCTTGTGACGAGCCA